TATTATTACTTATTACATCTTTTTTAAATATCATTCATACAGTTGCTTTGAATTATATTCTTAATGCAAACATAAAATCGGGAATCAGCGGAAGCCACTAATTTTATATCTGGTCAGACAGGTAACCAAAACTATTCCGAGGAAAGATGGTTGCGTTCTACTAAACAACAGTTTAAGCTGCTTGGATTCCATGGAAGTGCACATAAATATAAAAATTCAGATTTACAATGGTTCCATAACCGATCCTTTCATATTACAATTAATATTGGCACCAAACAGTAAATGGATAAATTAGTGGCACAATTTGTGATAATATTCACTATGAATCGTATAAGCACTAATTGATGTTTCAACCAAGAAATTAATCACTAGCCTAGTTGATCTTTCAAAAGAAAGTCGCAATTCCTCCTAGTTCCGGAGTGATGTATTTGTTCCTGGTAGTGTCAGGCAGACTTCTATGTGGGTTGACCCTGACCCTGTCTAGCCGTAGAAAACACTTCCATTGTTACATCACTGTTTTGTCGAGTTTCCAAGGTAGTTTGGCCAAAAATAAAAGCTTTAGGTTTTTAATGGGTGATTTATGATCAATCAATAGACTATCTTTAAACTCTCTGCGAGTCTTTAACTCAACAGATTTAAATTTAAATCCAGCTTTAGTTTTATTTTGCATAAAATCTTTAGATGAACTGGAACACTGGAAATCTTTCAGAATTTGTGTCTAAATGTTTAATAGCTTGAAAACCTGTATAGTTTTTAGCGTCGAAAATAAGACACTACCTAGACTTGAACTATAAAAAAATCAGTTTTACATATTAAAATAGTTCTACTGTTTGTATGTTCATTAAACTCACAACTGAATGTAACGATAATTGTAGCTAACACGTGTTAGGTGAAGCAAAACCACTTATTGTGATTTACTACAGAATAAACACAAGCAAACTCGTGTCCTTCTTTTAAGTATCTAACCATTAACATTAAAAACGCTGTTAATGCAGGTTCACAATTCATAATAATTATATTACATTCCATTGTAAAAATGGTCTAAAACACTGAAATACCTATATTATACCTATATTATTTATTTGAATTAATTTTATTAGAAGAATTCGTAGTTATAAGCACCGAATATTAAGATAGAATATTAGCTAGAATTATTTTTCTTCGTTTCGGTAAACATATTTAAAATTAAATAAACAATATCAGCTACTTTCTCCAATAAGCTTGTCAACAACCTTGTTGCAAAAACTTTTGAACCATAATTGTTGCAGCAATGGGTTGTAAATTTTTTTTTAGAATTATAAGGACACAAAACAATTTTTTTTCTAAAATAAATTTTTTTTTAATTTTATAAAAAAATGATATTTTATTAATTTGCCATTATTTTAGTTATTAATTTTATTATTTCCATTATGATATTTTATTTTATATACTATGGAGAAATTAAAAATAACAAAACGTATTTATCTGAAACATATCAGACATTCACCATTTTCCTAATAACTATGGTACAATACCTCGTCAAGTAATCAAAATTTTTAATGACAAGGAAACGATTTTTTGTAATTACTTTTTATGATAAAGAATTATCATGAAAAAATATTCCTAATGAATTACAACTCTTAGATTTATGATGCATTTTTCGCTATATTTTGACAAATCAATGTTTTTTCTATAATACATTTTCTCCCTCTTGGTCGGTATTCTACAAGTAAAAAACTATAATTATGAAATTTGACTCACTTTAGAGACGGAATATCATTTTTTTTTTTTATGGTTTATCAGCCAGTTTTAAGAACCAAACCAACTAATTAAAAGAGTAAAGTAAAAGGATATAGTTGTATAGATACTAGTTTATGGATTTATTTCGTTATATACATATTGTAATGTAGACTTTACTTTGTAAATAAGCTATACAAAATAATTGCTTTTTACAATATATTTTAGGTAAGCAGTCTAAACTCTTGGCTTATTAAAAATCTTACGTTGACCTACTGCTGGAAATTCAATTAGTTTAGTTAATCTTTTGAAAAACTACTAGGGCTTAGAGCTAGTTTCGCCCCTGGTCAAATAGAAATTTCAAGAAAGGTAACCCAGCCCAAAAAACTTAAAAAAATTAATTTTTATATATTCGAAATAAATCTTAATATACCACACACTAATAGGATGGAAACAATTATTGAGTTAACTTAAGTTTACCAACTCTTAAAAGGCAGTTTTTGTGAAAAACTCAACAAGGAAAGTCTCAACTTTTATACAGTACCACTGATCTAAAACGTCTCTAGTTTTTGTTTTGTGGCTGGCTCACCTTCAAATCATTTTGTGATTGCGAAGTATTGTACCTGGTTTGCTACCTTATTTTTCAGATTATGAAGTGTTTGTTTTGGTTTGTATGAAATGATTGGTTTGTAACAACGATGAAGTTTTTGTTTCATTGTTTGGTGATAAAAATCATAAATCAATTTTTTGTGGCAAAAATCATAGTAAATTCTAAGCAATAGAAACAATTTTAGAATATTGGATACAATATCGGGTTTTATTTTTACTCTAAAACCATCATAAGAAGCTGCAAAAGACATGTTTACGCTAACTCACTAATTAATTGTTTAAGTTCTGTGTACCTACAAAAGCAGAATTTAACACGAGAAAGATAGGGAATGTCGGATTACTTGTCAAGGCAAGCTTTACAACTACTTGTCTTACCATTGAAAAGATAATTTGACAATAATTCTACAACATTAATTGTACCATAAAATACAAAATCATGTAAGTTTACTATTGAGTTAAGTTAAAAACGTAAATAGAATCAAAAAATATTTGTTGGTAAGATATTTTTCATTTTAGAATAGAAAATTGCATAAAGAAAATGTATACTTATTTATACCGGCTATAAAATTGAAACTTAGGAAACCTTTCTTTAGAAATCTAAAAAAATATAAAATATAAAAATATTTTTAATATTAAATAATAGGACAGCATATTCGTTAAATACTGTTTATATGTCACTCCTATAAGAGTACAGGATAGCGAAAGAATTTTTGGCAAAGCAAGATTTTTTTCAGTTTATGACTTGAAAAATAATGAATTAAGCAAAACCGTTTCGAAACCAACTAAAGTATGGTTCAATATACTCTTATTGATTCTCATTGATTAAATTAACAAACTCTTAACAACACTCGTAATTATTTACAAAAGCAAAATATATAGCTACACAGCTAACTACTGTTAAATTTGAAAACATTTACTGAAGGAAAGGTTGTTACACTTATTCAAACGGAGCAAGTTTATGGAGAAAACTCAATTAAACTTTAAAAAGGAAACCGAAGAGAAGTTCCTTTGTGAAGGTACATGAAGCTGCAAGTTGTTATCTAACTTAGCAAGTTTTATGACTTCTTTCTTTCTCACTTTTAAGTAGTTGTATGTCCATTTTAATATGGCGTAATATTTTAGCATTGTTAAAAGTTGTTATCCAGTTTGAAACAGAAATACGAGGGAACCAGTGCGAGAATTGGTCATTTTAATAGAGTTCAACATTTATTTTCGAGGCAAAGAGTATAATCATTTTAACTTTTGAAAGATGATTTAAATCACAAATTTAGAATAAATTAGGTTTTTCGCTGTTACGATGTACAGTGGGTGGTGGGAGTGAAATATATTTGAGAAAGTCAAAAGTAAAACAATTAATTACAAAAGTTTATTTGGAAATTAACTAAATAATGACTTTAAATATAAAAATTTCACTTTCAAGTCGACTATTTTCAGTCAAGTGTCAAAAATGTATCATCATATCAATGTCATGCAATTATATAGCATCTCTAGTCAAAAATTTTATTTTAAACAGAAAATCCGTCGAAGATAAAAAAGAATAGTATATTTCATTTCTAGTACCGATAGTTGCATTTTCCGGCGTGTGCCTAAGTTTCATGTTAGAGGCAAAGCTGGCCACAGGAAAATATTTCACGTGAAACGCGTAGCATGTGAGATTTATTTTATGAGGCAAAGCTACGAACAGGAATTGGACTAAGTGCGGGAAAATCACTTTCGATACAAAGTTATGCACGATACTGTACATCAAGAGGAAAAAAATATCCCATACAGAACACCCAAACCCAGAAAAATAAAAAATATTAAGCTCCTAACTAATTAGGATGCTTTTAGTATACAAAGCATACAGTGACGTAGCCTGTCGCATACAGTGACGGTCCTGGGGGTCCGGACCCCCCCTTCTGGTCTTAAATATAATATTTTTGTGTTAAGGTAAATGTAAAATTATATAATTACTGTATTGACGTCGGGGTTGATTATTTTCAATGCCAACAGAGCTAAAAAATACCGTTTTAGTGCCTATATTTTTAAAAACTTTCCCGGAACCCTATTTTCCCTGGGGGGGTATGGAAGACCCCCCGGTCGGTCGACCCCCACTATTTTGAAATCCTGGCTACGTCACTGAAGCATACCTACACAGCAACGTAAAGATTAGAAATGTTCAAGACTATGTTTATTGTGTAGGAAACACGCACTGATAGTTAAAATAAAGGAAAACTAGCGCTATCCTACTCACATTTGCATTATTAAACAGCAAAACAGCAGGTTCCAATACAATAAACAGAAAACAAACACTTTCATGCATAGTGTCTAAATGATAAACTGATTGACAGCAAAATTAAGTAAATTTAGAGCAAGGGAAAATCAGCTAGTTTCTCCCTCATTCCAAACTAGAACTTAGGAAACAATAACTTCCTTTAATACCAGCTGTCATAAAAAAAAACATTTTTCCCCACAGAATATTGAACAACTGTTTCTTTTATTCCAAACTAGACCATTCGATAGCATTATTCAATGGATGTTCCGTACTACTCTATGGTGGAAGTTTAGCGTGGGAGTTCCGGTTCCGGGCGGTCAAGGTCACGTTGGTAGCTATAGGGGTTAAATACTTGCTGCTATCAGTAGACACCTGCGCTTATCACCAACTATCTCTATCTCTCTCTCACAGCTGACAAGCCATGGTGGGTCACAGTTTACTGTATTGTGCTCTAGTGACAGTCTCGTATCAGCTGGTCCATGCTGCCTTCACGAACTGTAAGTATTACCAATTGATTTTGGAAAGTGGGCGTTTAATGTATTGTAAAATTTGAAAGCAGTTTTAATGTTGTTATGTTGGTAAAGTAAGTAGTCCACTAGATTTTTTTGTCTAAAAACTAAATAGTAAACAACAAAAGGCAATATACAGAATCCAGACGGAACCAACACCAAAAATTATCTTCATCTAATGGATGAGAATGAAATAAATATAAATTACTTGTGCTTAATATTTTTAATTTTATATGCTTTCTTATGTTGTAGAATAGTTTGCAATATGGATTATTTTGTATTCTATAAATGGTTAGACATTTTGCCAAAAGTAGTTTTGGAATATTTAATTATTTATTGCTTATTAAATCTACATTATAATTTTAATTCAAATGACAGTTCGTGCTGTCTTATTTCAGTGTATTTTTTAATGATACACTGTTTAATACACAAGCAAATTAAATTGCTTTAAAGAATTTTCCTTTGATTTGTTAGATAAAATATATAAAGAAAAAAATACGTTTGCTCTTTGACATTATTTTAATGATAATCCTATGCACGGCATCATTATCTTTGGAGTGGACAAAAGTAAAATTTTCAAAAGTGATTATAGTAAACTCATAATATTTTGATAAATTAAATTCTTTTTGTTTAATGGAATGTCTTCGTGCTAACTGTTCTTCACATTTTAACAATGTGTAAAAAACCCAGGTGAAATGTTTCAGTTTAGCATAAAGAAATATAATAATTTAATAAGGATTAGTCTTTTCCCAAGATTTATTAAAAGAAGCATTTGTGGTTAAGAATCTAAAGAACAAATTTTAAGCATGAAACTTTTAGGAAATGCAAAGGAGACCCTCTCTAGATATATATTCCAATTGCAGTTTTCCCAACATACTATGATTAATATTAACCTATCGTCTACATCGGCCTGGGAATGAAGCAGTCATGTCAGTATTTTTTTCTGTGTCTTTAGGTCGAAGATCCGCAGGTTCCTGGATTAACAATTTAGTTTTTTTTTTACCTGTTTTTGTCATTGCAGCATTTCAATACAGACAGACAGTCATAGCTCATCAGCAATTTCATGCCATTGAACCTTTATTTATGTAGATGTTTTGAAAATCTTAAGTTGTTGTTAGAAATATATTGAAATTAAAATGCTATTTTATAGTTTAAACCGTTAATTTATTATCGTTAATACTTGCACTTCTTAATTTAAAACTCCCTCCGTTATCATCTATGTTATTTAAATTGTCATGTTTTTACTAGTGAGAGACATAAAACATTATTAATCATTTAATAATCGATTAATTAATTTACAGTCGCGGATACTGAATGTGGAGTCTCAAGTCGCAGGACAGCTGCCAGGATAGTTGGCGGAGTCAACGCCTCACAAGGGGAGTTTCCTTGGCTTGTATCACTGAAGAAGGGTCGCAACCACCTGTGCGGAGGAACTCTCATCGCCAGCGAGTGGGTCCTCACAGCAGCCCACTGCCTCTGCAGGTTCGTATTGACAGTTTGTCAAACGAGTTACAAAGAATTGAAAAATAGTCTTGTTCAGTGAGGTATATGTAAGGAAAATTAATTAAAAAAATGTGTAATACTAATTTCCGAAATTAGAAGATTAATTATCAACAACAGTAATACATATGATGGATTTGAGATATCAATAATACATCTGTAGTCCTTTGAAACAATAAAATATCTTCCCTAAAATCTTATGTTTTGATTAGGCTTGTAGTTGTTATGTGGAAGTGGTTTAGTCGTGTTTCTCATAAATATGGGAGATGTATACAGTTTCATCTACATGATCTGGAAAGCTATGCTGTTGCAATAAATTTTCCTCAGTTGCTTTGTCACTTATATAACTCAACTGCCTCTGCTATAGGCGGTTTTAGTGTGGAATGATTTATGTTGACGAGTATTTTGATTGCAATCCTTTTTACTTTCTCTTTCGAATTTAGTCTTTGTAATCATCATGGATTATTGAAGGTGATTAGCCTCTTTGAAATTCAATTATATTATCCAAGACTCAATGTGTAAGAAATTATACTCTAAAACAGCCATATTGGATTAACAGTCGCGTGATGGAAAGATTGTTGGACGATATAATTTGCACAATAGCCAGTAATACACCTTAGGTACTTTGAACTCATACAATCATAGTCTGAACGAATATTGTAGATGGCCGCATCATTGGATTGGCCAACGACTAGACATTTTTTGTACACCATATCATCTTCGATCGTTGAACCCTTTCTCTTACACTCTATTAGCCTTCTACTAAACATACATAATTAATATACGTACATAATAGCCTCTTTAAGTTTGTACACTTCTCCGCAGCGGGTCGGAGGTGATGGATGCCAAGAACCTCCGGGTGGCTGCAGGAGTGCATGACCTCCGCCAAGGTCGCGACCTGGACGTTCCTGTGGCACAAGTAAAGCTTCATCCTCAATACCGCTGTGACCACTACCTCCATGACATTGCCGTGTTGCGGCTAGGGGCGGTGGTCTCGTGGGGGCCTAACGTGTTACCTGCATGTCTTCCCCTGCCCACCCCTGAACAGACATTTGCGGATGTTGAGGCCGAGGTGGCCGGCTGGGGCTGGACAGACGAAAACTTCAGCAAAGGTCAGTGAAAAGGTCTTGTCTTGTAGAATATGTAATTCAGAATGGAGTTCGAATATTTAAAGAATTGCGCTTAGAAAGTGCAACTGAATTTGGCTAACATAAGTTATTCTAAGACTACTGTTCAATAACGATGAATTTTAAAGCGCATTTTGACGGTTCGTAATGGGATAACACGTATGATGTTTAAGCTTCCAATATTAATTCTCTAAAACCTTTTCTCTAATTTGTTTTACACTCAATCCTAATTTGACATCACCTTGAAATACATCACACAATTTATTGCCTTCAGAAGTAATAACTATTTCGTTTTTATGTGTCGGTAAATAAGCTTCCCTCAATGTATAAAACCAATACTATAATTTGTCATTTTAATATTTATAAGGATGTGTGATATTTTTATTTGATGCACACACTGCTTTCACTCATGACGTGATTTTACTATATAAATTATTATTAATAACAAGTTTCCCTTGTCCAAGGTTACCGTTCGGACGTGTTGCGCAAGGTTCGATTGCTGATCGTAGACAACAGCAAGTGCCAGAATTGGTACAGTTCCCAGGGCAAGCGAATCAAGATCCAGGCAACACAGATGTGCGCAGGCGTTGAAAATGGCGGGAAAGACGCTTGTCAGGTGAATTGCACTTTGCTCCGTATACTTATTTATTATGTTATGATTGCTTCTGGACAACAGTTTGAAAATTACCTGTAGCGATAAAAACAAGTGATTTGTTCCTGCGTATATAACTATCCTATACTCTTCTATCCACAGGCGGACAGTGGCGGCCCACTGATGGTGGGGGAAGGTAGCGACTTGATGGTAGTGGGGGTAGTCTCGGCTGGGATTGGCTGTGCTAGACCAAAACTTCCTGGATTGTACACCAGGGTGACTCACTACCTGGACTGGATTGGACAAACCATTAGATCTTAGGGAGGTATGCTACTGTGTCAGCAAATCCACAACTGTGATATAGCAACTGTACAAATTAGTCTGTAAAATGGAGTGTAGATAATGTAAATAGAGGAAGAGTTTAAATGGATACTTACTATTATTTTTACCCAATATCCCAAACTAAACCTTAACAAACATACTTGTTACATATTATAACGGTTATTGTAAAACTACCAGTTTTAAAGATACCGTAATGCAGAAATAATGCAATACAATAGGAACCCAATCAGCTGCAGTAAATGTGTACTATTTTAGGATAACGTCATTTTGGTTTGTACTGTACTTCAACTTGGTAGTTTGGTATATGGTTTATTTTAATAATTTTGCTTATAACTTTGCACATAAATGATTGTATAAAATTTTTAAACGGTGCCACAGTTATCGAGCTACTAAACTCTAATACTCGTGAAGTATAAGGATATAACAAGTTTTACTGAGTAGGTTCCACAGGTTGAGCCTAATGATCACCTTCAACTCAGCATTGTATTGTATGCTAAACTCGCGACATAGACCCAGTGACACACTTCGTCCTAATCTAGACTGCTCCAAGGTTACTGATGTAAGATAAATCATTATGTGTGAAGAAGAAGAACACTAATACTTGTGATAGATTTACAAACTAGATTGATATAGTTCTTAAGAACTATCGCAATAAGTCTTAAGAATATCAATTCGTTATTCGTTTTCTAGCTTTATAATATGTGTCAATGTGTCTGACTATTTATTGCCATAAAACACTCATATTTTAACAGTATCAAAACGTTTTTATGTATCAAGAATCTGTGTATATACTGTACACAGAATATGCACAGTATTTATGGCCAGTATTTGTGGCCATGAACACGATAATTTAAGTAAGTTTGGTTTGATTTTAATGACAGTTGGCTTGGACTTCTAAGGCCATTCAACAGTTCGGGTGTATACTTGAACACACATGAACGACTTTGTGAACTAGCAAGGTTGGATTATGGGAACAGGTATGGGGTTTTACAATTATTTAATTTTTTTTTCATTTTTAGTCTTATACATAAAATTCCCAATTTTCATTACTGCCACTGTATAGAGATTTACGAAATAAAAATATTAGTATATTGAAGTGGCTTTATGAAGTTAAAGGCTAGTAAGAAAATTAAAAGGTAATTAATGTAAATTAAAAATGTTTAGGTTCCTTATAGAGCAAAAAGTAAATACTATAGTTTGCTTCTTTAATATACTTTTATCATAAAGCAAACTAATTCATTTCTCACTATCCTATTAACATTCAAACAAACAATTTTTTCTTTCCCTATCGCAAGAAAACTAAGCACTTGTTAAAATTAATAAGGAATAAGCTTAAGGCAATATTTTAGTAAAAATCCAATTAGACAAAATGTAAATTGACTTAGTCTTCAAGTTTACTACAGCAGGGGTTTAGTCTAAAGACCTTTGCCTAACAATCTATAGAGATCGTGTCCTATTTGATCCCAGCACTGACCAGTTCACACAGTCTTCTAGCAACGCTACATTATACTTCTATAATACTGTTGTGAATCAATACTTTGCCTTGCCTTACGTGAAACATTTCAAGCAGAGCAAGGGGTAAGTGTGCGATGTACTAGAATCAAATCGTACTGCTAAATGTATTTGCGGTAAACAGGACGAAGCCAACCTTGATGACTTGTATTCGTAGTTCCAACCGGCTTAGCCACAGCTTCACCAGTAAAAATAAGTATTTCCTCAATAGTATACCATAAACTGGCGTAGGGTAACATTAAAAACCTATTTTGGGGACAAGGCAGACATGAGTTTTCATTTTTCTGAAATACCTGATCCTTTATCATGATTGACATGTTGTTTTAATGTTGTTAGTTTTATTTTCATTTTTGCAGCTCGGTGAGTATGTACTAAAACACAGAATTATATAATCTGTTGCTTAGAAACATTACAACAAGAAACAGTCTCCAGGAAAATTACAAGTGAATACATGACCACGACTTCAAGAAGATACACCAGCAGACATACACTATAACACATACATCATGACCTATTATGAGCCTTACTCTTCAGACATGTATGGTTACAATGACCCGTACGGTTACAATGACCCGTACGGTAACTATGACCCCTACGGATACAACGAAAGCTTTGATGACTCCCCACCCCCAGAACCGAGTAAGGATTGGGTAGACATACCAAAAGTAAATCGATCTTACGTGAGAAAAATACCTAAAGAACTAATTAAAGAAGAATACGAACACTTACGAGGTGAAAGTTTATATCACATAGAAGCCATGGTTGAGTTTATAGAACTGAATGATGAAATATTGATGAGCCCAGAGAAAAATAAGAAACGTGACGGTAAAACAGTTACACAATTACAAATATTGAGCCTTCCAACAACAAACCCTTCTACTGTTTCTAAGGATGAGTCACTGGATATTAAGAAATCAGTTACATCACATGATGTAGTGATCTTACCGTTATTGGAATGGTTTCAAAACCTGTTTGCTGATTGTGTTAGACGAGCTGATGAATCAGATGAAAGAAATGAGAGCGAGGAGAAAAACAAGGAAAATGGCGAAGATGGCAAAGAAAGAAAACAATCAAACGGGAAACAAGACGGAGAAATAGTAGATAAACCATCAAAAAAGTCGAGGACAAACGTCATGGAAGGTAAGCTTTCATGTTTAATAACTCATAATTTTGATTGGATCTAGCGCATATCTCTGATTAAGTGATACATAAAAACTAACTAAAAGACGAGGGTGGTTGTACATTGTGAACTTAATGAACATTGGGTTTCCAGGTAATAGCGTGTTGCTGTTAACAACCGGATTAGAAATGATCCAGAGACTACAAACACAACTAGTAACGGTAGAAGTTGGAAGAAGTGACGTCACCATCCAAGAGGTCGTGCCTCTAGGGGTCGCTTCAGTTAGACTTCCAGAGACCTTCCATCAAATTGTCCTTCAGCGGGCAGCGATAAAGAAGTCTTTCATTGTACCTATACTAGGAGAGGAAGGTGCAGAAATAGGTGGCGTAGGATTAACGGTCTCACTAGTGTGTTTAGGCCAGGGGCTGGAAGTTAGTTATTTAGAAACTCCGAAATTATACGGAAAAGTCAAGTTAATAGAATCTTTCACCCAAAATGTGGCTGAATCTACTCTAGATGCACCCATACATCCAAGACTGGCAGTGAAACTGATGAATTTGGAAGCACCTTTGTACTTAAACAGAACGAGTTCTGAGATTCTTCAAGATTGTTTGGATAAAAATCGTTTGGATGGTAAAGACATGATTACGTACAAGAACGGGAGTTGCCGATGGTTGGAAATCGCCAGAGAATTATCAAGTACTCCAAAAATGAGTTTGCAAAGTATGAGTTCTGGTTCATTTGACTTTGATGTATTATCTTTACCAGATACCTCTGGGTTTTGGTCTTTCCTAAACTGTCCAAGAGGTAGGACGGATCCAGAACTTGATATACTTTGGAGGAAACTGAAACAACAGTGCAGAGGTATGGGAAATGAACTACAAAATGTAGAAAACAAAAAGAAAGCACGGTTCGAAGAACTTGAAGAACTTTTGAGACAAGACAAGGGAGAGGGCTGGGAAGATGAGGCTAAGTCAAATTCATCGAGACTTTCGAAACGGGGAACACGAAGTTCTAAGTCCCCAAAAAGTTCGCGAAGGAAGAGCACTCAAAAATCTTCACTTTAATTACTGTAATAAATGCAAAATATAACTACATAAAATACCAACTAATCAGTAACCATTATCATACCAAACTTGAGTATTTATTCTCTCATCAACATTGTTGTGTTTGAAGAAGACAAAGAACAAATATTGCGTTGTTACGTTTAGGCATGTTACAAACCTTAATAATAGTAAATTAATATTTACCCACCTACAATATTGGCATTGTGTAGACAACTGAGCATATTTTATATCGAAGTATATCACAGGCTCATTAAGTAAGGGGTATTAAATCTCATACTCTTCGAAATAACGTAAGGCTTTTTGAGGTAGGCAGTAGCATATTTTTATTGAAATCTGAAACAGACGATAAGTCCAGTCTTCGTATTTAGTCAAATGTGAATAGGCATTTATAAATTAAATTTATCCTCTGAAGCTATTAAGTTCTAAAGAGTTTAGAATGAATAAGACATTTGGAGGATAAAATTAAAGTTTAAATTTAGTTATTTGTTATTCCTAGCTCGTCTCGAATTACTGGTGGAATTTGTTTGTCAGCAGACTAATGAAGTAGAGATTGGACCAAGCGGGCGGAATAACAATGTACCTTTTTCTAAACATTTTAAAGAATCGACAATGCAATATTATAAAATAAATTGTGTTTACTAATGTGGGTGGTTTTCTATTGTTTTAAATTGAAGATTTAAGGCCAAATCGATTTGTTGGCACTGCCTTGTAGATATGTAAACTGGGTTCAATATAATATGACTAATAATGTGATTTCCTATTAAGAATTATAAATTCTGAAATAAGTTTAAAATACGTCTAGGACTTTTTAAATGCTAGACATAGGACACTTTAAGAAGCATCGTTATATTATAGTTATATTGAATGTTTCAGTCATAAAACATCAGTGCCCTGACAAATACATTATCTAAAGGACAATTCCTTTGCAACGCTGATAAATCAATACAGAATACAAACAATTTATAATAATTTACAAACTAAGATTATATTTTGTTAATTTGTTTAATGTAAAACGTAATTAAATGCAAAACTGGACAACCGAGTCCTAAAGATATTTGGTTTGACTTTATACTTTTCTGTCTTGGTTGCATGATTATCTGCGACAGACTTATTTATTGAAAGGCTGGAAAGACAAGGTTACTTTTACACAGCCAATTGTCACAGTTGGCACTGGAGCCGTTGTGACTGTTCAACGCAACCCATACTCTCAACAAGCAATGTGGCAACGATGAGGAGGATTAGCTTAGCATAATTACAGCCAGTATATAAATAATTAAAGC